ACAGGGATGAGTCCTCTGCACACAGGAGGAAGCACAGCACAGGGATGAGTCCTACACACACACACGAGGAAGCAGAGCACAGGGATGAGTCCTCTACACACAGGAGGAAGCACAGCACAGGGATGAGTCCTCTACACACAGGGGCCACACGCACGCACGCACACACGCACGCACACACGAGGAAGCACAGCACAGGGATGAGTCCTCTACACACACACAGCAGAGTTTCACAGGCTCCTGATCTGATCCACTAAAGCAGGACACCACCACAAAGCTCTGACAAAGCCCTGTTCAGTCAACAGACTGATCCCTCTGACACCCTCCCTACAACCCCGCTGCTCAGATCATGTACCAGAAATCACCAAGAGCTCAACAAAACAAAACAGCATAAATATAACGTATAGAAGAGTGGAAGCCATTCTGGGAACTCGTACATATTTAAAAAGACAGAGCTCTCCCTTTAGAGCAAAAACTGCAGAAAACCAAGAGCTAGTTGGGCCGGCCCCCTCTCGTTCACAAGCAAACTCCGCCACCATCCCACTTCAGGCAACAGCAATCATGTGCAACAAGCAGGATGTCGCCGAGTCAATGAAGGAAGATGATCTGAGGAAAAACACTGAACAGACACAGGCTGGGTTTTGGAGGATGAAAGAATAATCTGGAGAAAAATAATTAATATAATATATAAAGCTACTTAACAATGTGCTGTAACACATTAAAGCATATGTTTGAAGTGAGGTCTAACTTTAACCTCGTTTGCAGTTCATAAAAACTACATATACTGACCTAAGAGTTAATTACTTTGAAGGAAGATTTATTTACACTCAGGTGTACCTGAGGGTGTTTATATGTAAAGCTACATTCTGATGACTCTTTTCCGATATTTTAGTGTACATATCTTGTTTTAAATCACCACTGCATCTATGGTCCTGCTCATGTTTAATATTAAGGAGAACTCCATTCCACTTTAATCAGGTACTGAAGTACATCCCCTCACTAAATCAAGCATCCTGTCCACTTACATGAACCTAAGCATAATCCTAGGAAACCTGAATACATCATTCTCACACAGGACATCTGATGAGAATGACGAAGGCAGGACCAGAAGTATCTAAGTTCTTATAAAACTCCTGCTTCTTTAGTTTGTGATGCGTCTTGTACATCTACTGTTGTTCCATATTAAAAACATTGACAATGGGTCATGAAACGGCCTGTTTGATTACTCCTGTCTGGGTCAATGGGTGGGGC